ATTATCAGTAGTAAAGCTACTTGTTTTTACTAGCAGTGTCTGAAACTCTATTCGTGTGTTTCTACTAGCAACATTCTTTCTCTACATTCCGCTGTACTACTTTCTGTCTCCCAACGGAGATACCCCTAACAGACACAATTGCGGCTGTAAGTTGAGGACTGGCCATGCTCCCCCCGGCCCCCTGAGGGCAAACAGAACCCTGATGTGGCCCTCAATGAAATCAATTTTGATGCCCCTGATCTAGAGAGCACACCAATGAAAATCCAGCCAACTGCAATCAGTTCATTAAGTTTAAATCTGTCTCTCTGATTTATACACGTGGAATAAACTCTTTTCTCTCTCTCTCTCTCTTTTAAGAAGAAAAGGGGATTATTCCCAAAACCACAGCTGCCGTCCAAAACTCATTCTTCTTGGCTGCATTTTCTGGAGATTCCCCCTTTCACAGAGACATCTGTCACCGACATAACTAATTGGAGGAAGCATTTTTATTTGATCAGGCGGTAGAAATTCCCAGAAAGTGGACATAAGTGGTTTCTAATATACTAGTCCCTCAAGGACTTTTATAATTGCAAGCAGAAGGAATTGATTAAAACGGATAGGCAAGAGGAGGGGAAAAAAAGAACATTTTTTTTTTAGGCTTTGAAATTGAAAGAACTTTTCCACTCAAAGCTGCCGAATTTGGTTTAAAGCAAAAAAAATAAAATAAAAAACTTCCGTAGCGCACGATACGGGGAAGTCCTCGACGTACGGTGACAATTGGGTTCAGAGCGAGGTAAAGCGAGGCGGTTCACTCAGCTGTCAATGGTTTCACCCATTTTATTTGCCTCGTCCCTTAAAGCCAATCAGCCCGGTCGTTAAGTGAATCGCACAGTCGCTAAACAAATCTCCCTTTCCCCATTAATTTCGGTGGCCGGAAGCCAGCGGAGACGGTCACAAATGGAGCTTACGCGACCCCAGGACAATGCAAACATTATAAAGAGGTTGTGCCTGTTGCCGAGGAATCAAGTGACGGTGGGGAACGGTGGGATAGTCGTAACTGCGAGGACTGGTTGCATACCCCTTTTTTCCGGTGCCATGGTAACTCTAAATGGTCGCGAACACCAATGCTTCTAAGTGGAGAACTACCTGTATTTCGTAATATTCATACTAAGGAAACACCCTTCGCTAGCTCCCATCGTTCCCAGCCCTACTTGGCTTCGTGATCTCTTCGACCAATTCAATCTATTTCTCCACGCAGAGAAAAGAGGAAGGGAGGAAAATAGGCCCAATTTCCCCAAAACTCTTAACTGTAAATGACCAACAACGAAAAAAAGAAGCTTCCGGATAAGAATTAGGGGAAAAAATGATTTTAAAAAATTGAACTTGAAATTTATTTCTTTACTAGCTGGGTATCCATGCTTTGCGGTGAAAGTATGTGATCGGGCAATGCAGGAGAAATCCGCTTCAATCCGTTGGCTCAGTGGTGGTCGGTGATTGAAACCCATAAGGGAATACCGCTCCCACCCCTTTGAGTCCAGAAGCATTTCCATAGGTGGAAGGCGTAGACATTTTGGCGAGGTACCGGATGTGTAGTACTCTAAGGAGCTCCAGAACGCTCCTGAGTGAAGGAGTGGAACGTCTGCCAGTTTGAACTGAGGTAACGGAATGTGAGGCAACTGGCAGTTGGAACAGAG